CACCTACCTCTTAGAGGACTGGCTGCCCCTGCCCAGTGGCTCCAGTCCTGGCTGAGTTAACTGGGAGCTGGTACTGATGTGAGGACACACACACACACACACACACACACACCTTGAATCAGAACCTGCAGGGAGACAAGAAAATGTCTTTTTTTTTTTTTTTTTTGCGACAGTCTTCCTCTTTCTCCCTGGGTAGAGTGCTGTAGCATCATAGCTCACAGCAACCTCAAACTCCTGGGCTCAAGCAATCCTTTGGTCTCAGATTCCCAAGCAGCTGGGACTACAGGTGCCCACCACAATGCCTGGCTAGTTTTTTTTGTTTATTTTTAATAGAAATGGTGCCTTGATCTTGCTCAGGGTGGTCTCGAACTCCTGAGCTCAAGCAATCTGCCCACCTCGGCCTCTTAGGGTGCCAGGATTATAGACATGAACCACCTCTTTCAACCAGAAAATGTCTTTTTAAGTTTCTCAGGTGTTCTCAATCCTTAGCTCTCTTGTCCAATTCTAGAAGCAGGGAAAGCCATGCTGGGGAGCAGGGTGGGGAGGAGCAGCTACTCTGTACCGCACGCACTACGCTGGGCACCTGGTTTCCCTGATGTCCTCAACCCTCAGGACAACACGCAGAAGTGAGAAGGAAACTGAGGCTGAGAGGTTTTAAGACCCGCCCTGGGTCTCTGTAGTGGAGCCAGGATTCAAATTCCAGTCTGATGCCAAATGCAGGCTTGTTGCCTCTATTTGCAATGTTTGTTCTATTTACAGAAATAAACAGGATCTCACTAGAGTTCAGAGACAGGCGTGGAGAAAGTGTTTTTACCCTCATTTTACCCAAGAGGGAGGTTAGCAGAGGTTCCCAGTCCTTACCCAGAGAGGGAAAATGACTTGCCAGGGTCACAAAACTAGTGAGTAGCAGGGCAGATACTCAAGGAGGTGACACCAAGCTTCTTCTGTGCTCATTCCACAACACCCCTGTAGCGCTCTGAGCCCCAATTCCAGTGATGAGAAGCGCTGATAACCTCCAGCAAGGAGGCTGATGATCCAGATATGCTGGGATGGGGTCAGGGGAGAGGGGGAAGGAAATGGAGAGGGACAAGCCCTGTTTTCCCGCGGTTCCTTCCTTAGAGCAGGCCCAGACCCATCAGCAGCCTCCCACGCACTTCCTCCTACCTCCACAGGGGCCTCAGGGCAGTGAGAGGGGCCAGAGGTGGGGCCTGGTTGTGAGGCCCCAGGAAGCAGCTGAGGCCACAGCCAGGGGAAAGGGTTCAGGTGACTAAACTGCCAAAGGGGTGACAGATGCTCTGAGTGGTTACACCTTCTTTTAAAGGAACAATTCTCATCTTACAGACAAGGGAGCTGAGGTTCAGCGATGAAGTCAGCCCAAGGGCCAGGGTGCTAACTAACCCTACCAGACTGGCTCTTTCCACTTCACCCACAGCTGTCCTCTTAGTCCAGTTGGCTGCATAGTGGGAAGTGAGGGGGTGGCGGCTATCTGCTCCATTATTCACACAGCAAAACACAGGAAGGAGTGAAGTGGCTCTTCCAGCCCTTTATTCTCTGGACCCTGGTGCTTCTCCAGCAAGGATTACCTACCCAAAGAGCTCCCCTTAACCTATTACTAGATGAAGGGGCTGGAGATACAGCCACTGCCAGGGTCACAGCTCCGCCCCAGAGGCCAGTCATGACTATTCTACCTCAATTCACTGCCCAGTGCAATCTTTTCACCGGGAGAAGATTGCTCCCAGCAGGGTTGTGAGATGGGATAGAACCTCTGCTAATCTTGCTAGTGGGTCTGTGGCTAACATGTGCCCGAAAGGAAATTGGAAGACTTTGGTCCTTCTGGGAAAATAGGATATCCTGTCCCAAACCCAAATTCCTTGATATGACTTCACATTTGCACCAGGAGTAAGAAAGGACATTTAATTCCACGAATAGGCTTTGCTCTTACACTGGGCCAACAACTGTTAGTGCTCCCAGCATTCTCTCTTTCATCCTTGCCAAAAAAAAAAAATTTTTATTTTATTGGTAACAGTAGGTGCACAGCCCCAGGGAATAAGGGTTGGTTTATTTCCTGTCCATTCCCCTTTCCCACTCTCCCAGTCACACTTACTATTACAGGTGTCCACGTGACCCGTTTTCTTGCCAATAACATTTTCTAGGAAAAATGTTGCTTCCTGGATTACTTCTTTCTGCTTAGCAGTTGTCATAAAGTGCAGTAATGCCACAACCCAAGCCCGCCAGAGAGGATGGAGGAGCAGCACAGTAAGAGCCTATTTCCAAGGGGAGTAGGAGAAGGGAAAAAACTAACCTAATGGGTACTGTGAATGCTACTTGGGTGACAGGTACACATATAGCCCAGACTCAAGCATTACAAAAATGATCCACACAACCTAAAACATTTGGGGTTGTTTTTTCTTTTGGAGACAGAGCTTCAAGCTGTTGTCCTGGGTAGAATACCGTGGCGTCACAGCTCACAGCCAACTTCCAACTCCTCGGCTTAAGCAATTCTCTTGCCTTAGCCTCCCAAGTAGCTGGGACTACAGGCGCCTAACACAACGCCCAGCCATTTTTTGGTTGTAGTTGTCACTGCTGTTTGGCAGGCCCGGCTGGATTTGAACCCGCCAGCTCAGGTGTATGTGGTTGGGGCCTTGGCCGCTTGAGCTACAGGAGTCACCAACCTAAAACATTTATAACCCCTTAAACTTTAAAATTTAAAAAGTTAAAAATTAGAGTGGCACCTGTGGCACTGGCCCCATATATGGAGGGTGGCAGGTTCGAACCTGGCCCCAGCCAGCTAAAGCAGTGATAACTGTAACAAAAAATAGCTGGGTGTTGTGGTGGGCACCTGTAGTCCCAGCTTCAGAAGGCTCAGGCAAGAGAATTGCCTAAACCCGAGAGCTGGAGGTTGCTGTGAGCTGTGACGCCACAGCTCTCTACCCAGGGTGACAAAATGAAACTGTCTCTAAAAAAAAGTTAAAAATTAAATTATATAAGCTTAACAATTAAATGAATTATATTTAAAAAACAAAAATTAGGCTTGATGCCCATAGCACAGTGATTACACCACCAGCCACATACACCGAGGCTGGTGGGTTTGAACCTGGTCCCGGCCAGCTAAACAATGACAACTGCAACAACAACAAAATAGCCAGGTGTTGTGGCAGGCGCTATTTGGGAGGCTGAGGCAAGAGAATCACTTAAGCCCAAGAGTTTGAGTTTGCTGTGAGCTGTGATGCCACAGCACTCTACAGAGGGCAACACAATGACACTTTGTCTCAAAAGAAAAAAAACAAAACTAAAAACAAAAAGCCTGTTGCCTTGGTGGTATTGTTGACCTCACAAGTAATATCTCCAACTGCCTGCCTCCATACTTATGTGAGCAAAATATTCCCTTGTTTGTTTGGGGGTTTTTTTGGAGTTTTTGGCCGGGACTGGGTTTGAACCCGCCACCTCCGGCATATGGGGCCGGTACCCCACTCCTTTGAGCCACAGGTGCCGCCTCCCTGATTTATTTTTTCCCAGTTATTCTTTGAAGCTAAAAACATTCCTAACAGGTACAGCAGCTACTGGGTTCCAGCTTTTAAACAGACCACTTTCTCCAGGAAACATATCCTGGGTATTCAAAGCAAGATCAAGGGTCCCCTCCTCAGAGCAGGGAATGCATTGCCACTTGCCCATGTGCCTTAGCTGTGAGGCAGGTAGCAAAGGATCCCCTTGTGCTCACCATTTTATTTCTAAGCCAATGTATTTACTGAATGAATCAACACACCTACAGCTAATTGCTGGCACAGCCCCTTGAGGGCAAAAATGAGCTTGCCAATGGCTGACCACAACTTACAAGGAATGGGTGTGTACACCCATATGCTGGAGTGAGGCGGGTGTCATTTTACCTGGTTAGAAAAGGGCCCCTACTCCCTGCACAGGGCAACCTGCATTACCTCACAGCAAGTACTGCTTTTGCAGGGTGACTATACACCTCTCTCCCTCTGCCTTGGTAGTTTGAGCCAGAGCCCCACCTATCCACCCACTGCTATACTCCAATTTGTGTGGTTTAGACGTGTTCTGCTATATTTAGGAGGACAGTAGGATACCTAAGCTTCTGTCCCCTCCCCTGGAGAAGCAAATCAAGGTTGCAGTGTAGACACTGCCTTTCATGTCATTGTACCTATTTCCTCATCTACAGGAATGGCAAAACTCGCATGAGTTACTCAGTTTTCCTTACCTTTACATTTCACATCACCTTTCTATTTCTCACTTTATGCTCCTCCCAAGTGCTGATCCTATCTCTCTCAGCCAGCAGGGCATTTGAGCATATGCTGTAAGCTGGATGCTTTCACACATTACTCCATCTCATCCTCAAAATAATCAGTATCATTTTGCACAGAAATGACAGGATATTGGCAGTGCCTACTGAGCACTATGGTAGCTACCTTATATATGCCATGAGTAATCCTCCCTAAAAGCTCCCACAGTGATTTATATTCTCATTTTGTAGATAAAAAAACAAGGTTCAGCAAATCAGTAGAAAGGAACCAGGGCTGTCCAACCTCAAGGCATTTCGAGGTTGGCCTACACCCCCAACAAGGGACTCATTGTTGGAATAATATCTGATGGAGAGAACATCAATGGTTTGGGTATAAAAATTTATTATACATAAAGAATATTACCACTAATGAATGCAGACAGACTAGGACACCATGGTAGTGAATGGAGGATGGCTAGTTCTTTGGAAAGTGAACAGGTTTAGGTGGCTTGGGGCCACGCTGATTGGTCAGCCAGACAGGAGGGTACACACCAGACACCAGGGCACCGGGGCATCAAGTGACTGCTCTGTGCCCAGGCTCCTTCCCTGCCTGATTTGGAGCTTTCAAGAATGACACCCAGAAGCAAGCAACTGAG